TTGAATGCAAAGACTCGAGACTTACTTGTGACTTGCAAAACAACGACTTGGTCACACCTCTGCAATATAGTGTAACATTTTTAATACGAGGCATTTATTGATTATCAGCCAAAATCGGTGCATCCTTAATGTTTTTAAAAATCTAATTTAATTTTGATTAGGGCAAAGGCGTCTAAATGTAATTATAGGGGAAATGAGCATAAACAATTAAATATCAGCAAATATATATCCAATATCGACCAATACGAATACAGTTAACAATAAATGTAATCTCATATATCAGCTGATAACCAATATGATACTGATGTTGTGCATAGCTAATTTCCTTCATTAAGTCAACTATTACCTGAGAGACTGGTTCGGTCGGCTCACGTGCTCGGTGAGTGCGACGATGGTACAAGAACTTCGTCATGTTGGTGAAAGTTTTAGCACAAAATGGGCATTTGTGCAGTGGCTCAGATGTATGGGATTTCCTAAAGCGGGAAAAGCGAAAGAAAAATTTGTTTTGATGACAGAAAACCCAAATCACGAGCAAGTTTTGATGTTTGACTATACAGTTTGTATTTATTACCTGTGTATCATAAGAGTCATTTCTGTGGTAAAACCATGTCCACAGTCTACACACAGAAAACGTGCCTCACCAGAGTGTGTGCGCATGTGAGTCTGAAGGGACACCAACTTTTTAAACACTTTGTCACACTCTGGGCACTCGTGTGTTCCTTGTTCATGCACTCGAAGGTGCGCCACAAGCCGATTGGCAGAGGTGAACGTTCTTTTGCACTCCTCACACCGAAGATTGCTGGGTGGCGGTGTCAAACCCAAACCAGCTGAGCGGGCAGTGTATGTATGCCTCCCAGCAATAACTTTGCCAACTTTGCTGCCCTCTTCGGCTCCATCGCTTCTTCCTTCATCTTCCTTAGCCCCAGAACGGTCTTCATACCCCACCATCACCCCAGTGTCCCCACTCTCTTTGTCCTGGCCTAAGAAGTGCTCCCCCTGGTGTTGAAGGAAATCCTCTGGTGTGCTAAACAGCAGATTACACTCAGAACACTCATAAGGATGGATAATTAAAATCTCCTCATTTTCCTTCTTTAAAGTGTTCACCTGACCAGAGGAAGGGAGGAGGTTAAAAGTGGTCACATTGTCCAGCCGGATAGGATCGGCGGGTAAGAGAGGGGCGAGGAGTTTAGCTTTGCGGAGAGTAGCTGAAGCAGAACCATCAGCGATCGCTTGGGCGGAGCAGAACTGTAGGCGGAGCATCGCAGAGGTGGAGCCAGGCAGGGAAGCGTTGGCTGGTACTAGCATAGTCCTGTGAGGGGCTGCAGTTTTAGATGGGTTTTCTTGCTCTCGAAGAGCCTGAAAAATAAAGGCAACTAAAGTAAGTTTGGAAATATGGGACCTGTAACATCCTCAAACAATGTGGAAATAGGCCAGGACATTGTCACACTGAAACTCCTGAATTAATAAGATGGGAAAAACCGTATCCTAACACCACGTTTTAACTAGATGCATTGCCAACAACAGTTTTCAGAGGATTTTAGACCAATGAGTGGGTAGGACTACCCACTGTGACAGAAACAGAAATCAAATAAAGATTTTATCGCATCACTCCTAATTAGATCATGGTGTAAAACAAACCCACTTTAAAAAATGTGTATATCTGTATGTATGTATGTAAACAGACCTGGGCTAAGGTCAGGATCTGGCCTGCCTTCTGTTCATCCAGAACTAGATTTTGAACATTGAGCAACTGAAGCGGAGTGACTGAACCATCTGCCTGAAGAACATATTCCTGAAACAGAACACAAAATTAAATTAGAAACTGCCAAAAAGATCACAAGATTAACATTGTACTCCGCAGTATGTGCAAATTGTTTGTTGAACACCTTAAGAACCTGACACTGTGGCAATAACAGTGTAGACATTTTTAATGATATGAACAATTAATGTTTTAATAGATACACATTCTTCTATTAGACATCATTATTGCGTTATTGAGAAGAGTTATTAGCTGATATTAGAATTGGGGTTTTTTTTTTTTTGTTAATTTGTCTATACTAGTGTTTATAAGTGTGGGATAAAGATTTTTTAATGATACTTCTATTCAGCAAGGATACATGCATTGTAATCAAAAGTGATAGTATAGACTTTTACATTGTTACAAAAAAATTATATTTCAAATAAGCTGTTGTTTTGAACTTTCTATTAATCAAAGAATCCCGAAAGAAATGTGTCACGGTTTCCCATAAAATTGCAAATATTTTCAACAATAAGTTACAAGAGCAGCAAATCAACATATTAGAATGATTTCTGAAGGATCATGTGACACTGATAACTGGAGTAATGCTGAAAATTCAGCTTTGCCAACACCTGAAAAAAACTACATTTTTACTATTTTAAATATATTTAAAAAAAGAAAACTGTTACTTTACATTGTAATAATGTTTTACAGAATTACTGTTTTTACTGTATTTTATATTATTTTTATATATATTAATGCATCCTTGGTGAATATAAGACTTTTGAAAAACATTTAAAAAAAACATTACCAACCAACCCCAGACATTGGAACAGTAGTGTACATTAAATTATTTGATTTATACCTAAGCCATATTAAAAAACATTTAAAGCTTTTCAATACTTTTTCATGGGAGTTTATTATTTTACAATAAATGTATATATTCAGGGTGGCCGTGGGTCCTTAAAAAGTCTTAAAATGTCTTAAATTCAGATTCAGTAGGTCTTAAATATTTTTGGTCACATTACCACAAAAATCCCCCCCCCCAGCCGCTGTAGTTACCGTTTCATCAGAGAGAATTGCGGTTACAGAATACAGTCGAACACCAGCTCGCTGTCCAGCCTCCGAACTACTTTAACTGGGTTCATGCAAGTTTACTGAAAAATGGCTTGAGAATTGTACCTGCCCGACAGGACTAATAGCCTGATTAAAACTTAAAGGGGTCATATGATGCGATTTCAAGTTTTCCTTTCGCATTTTTGTTACTGAATGATTCAGAGGTTCGAAGGAATCGGTTGAATGAATAAGTGACTTACCGCCACCTATTGGCGGTTTAGTCTCATGCTTAAAAGTATGCATTTTCCCCCAACATTTCTTATTTGTATGTTCAAAATTTTATTTACAACATTAATCCCATAACATTATTTATTGCTGTTGTAATTTTGTAATTATTTAATTTGATTGGTAACAGCCCTGTAGAAATCAGGAAGGGGGCCAACACTTTTTCACACCACTGTAAATAACATTAAAAAAAAATTTTTTAAAAATTCAGCTGAACTAAAGTTTTATCTCTCATCCACAGACCTGCATAGTCTGGGCTCTGTTGTCAATTTTTAAAAATAAACATTTTTACAATATACCAAGTCAGAAGGCTCATTAGCTGAAAGATTTTCTTTCCTACATAAATGAACATTGCCACTCCCAAATGAATTGGAATCTAATCAAAACAAATTGAGAGCAAATCAGAATCAGCATGGATACCCAGCCTTGTTTATTATTTTGTGTGTGTGTGTTAGAGGTCTGCAAGCCCAACAGGGCCCGACACGCTGAGTCCATTCGGGCCGGGCTCGGGCCATTTGTATTTTTTTTACAGATCGGGCTCGGGTTCGGGCTCATTTAGCTTCTCTCCTTTTATTGTGCCATATATGCGCAGAGCACACATAGGCTACTGTATGAAATATTGTTATATTGATTATATTATAAATATTATACATCGCCTACGCAATACGCAACGCACATACACACGCATTAGCATACAGGTGACAGTTGACCATGCACAGCATCAGGAGAAGTTGGGAGTTACTAAAAGTTCCCAATGCTTCGGAAAAGCTGTATTTTGGAAGAGTCTTGATTTGATTACCTCAGCAAACAGTGAGTCAATTGGTCATGTGCAGTACAGAATCTGCAAACATATCCTTGCACATGACAGCAAAAAACGCACGCAATAGGCTAAAGCGTGCCGCAAAGCCCCAGCAAAAGTAATTACCTTGAATGTGTCGGGGGGAGATAATGAGATATTTGAATTATTTATTAATAAATTAGTGTTTTCTGAGTCCGTGTCGCAAAGATGAAGACGACGATCCTGATCCTGAGAAATGCATCTTCAAAAGAGTTTTTGTTTTTGATTCGAATTATTTAGTTTTAAAGTAGTAATTTAAAGATTTCTATAGATATATTTAGCAAGTTTTTGAGGAAAGTATTCGCTGAGTTTCGGTTCATCACTGTGAAGCGCTCCTGGCCGAAATTGCAGAAAGCACATCCTGTATGCATCCTTTATTTTATAAAAGCACAACACTTTGTTGATATTGTGAGTGCACACAAATAAAAGTAGACCCTTTACAGTTCCGAGTGATGTATAACTCTTACCTTTATGAGCAATAATTACAGCATATTTTAAGTTGTTTCCAATGCAAGTGATCGCGCCGGCTCCTCCATGTCCTGTAAAGCGCGCTTTAGCTCTCCGCACAAACGATTAGATATGCGTCCAATAGCGCACATTTATATAGGTAAAACATTTAAGGGCCTGAGCGTCTCGGGCCAGGGCCGGGCTAGGGCCTATATTTGAGGCCCGTGCAGGGCTCTAGTGTGTGTGTGTACTCACTGTGTCAGTGCTCAAGCTGCTGTGGGTGCTGCTTCTGTTGTGTGTCTGTCTGTGAGCCAACCACAGCTCAGGTGTGTCAAAGAGAGCCAGACATTCCAAACACTGATACTGGATTGGCACATCTGCATCGACAGCATCCATCTCTGTGACCTCACATAGCTCTGAAAATAAAGCATTCATGTCCCGATTACAACCCCAACTAAACTTGCAGTACAGCAGCACACATATTAAACACTGCACTCACCCTGGCCTGCCTCTCTCATGTGCAGCTCTTGATGCAGCAGCAGTTCATCTGGGTTCCTCAGGATGGCTCCACACTCCAGGCACTGATACTGGCTCTCCCCAGTGTCACAGTCCTCAAGGCTCGAGAGGACCTCGACCTCGTCCCCCTCTGCTCCGGTGTGGATCTGTTGGTGCACCAGCACCTCCTCCAGCGTATTAAAGAGCTGCTGGCACTCACTGCACATATACTGATGCTCCACATATTCCTGCTCACTCATGGTAACTGCACAGTGCTAAACCTGTTAAGATGCAAAGTCTCTCGGTGTGCTGAAGAGCAGGTGCAGTGCTGGGGTTATGAGTCACAGTCACTAGGTTCAGTATGCATTCTTATGCTCGATACAAATCCTAAGCCCTAAAACAACCTAAAAAAAAACAAAAACTTAAGCAATACAGATATGCCAGAAGACTCCCAGACAAATTGTCTGGCCTTGCACTTTCATATTAAATTTCATAACCTATCATTCAGGATTAGATTTCCACGGGTCAATAATAATATAGATATTATGAACATAATTTATATGATCATTGAGACATGGGACAAAGTATGTACCACAATTTTTCACCCTTCATTTAATTTCTAAAATATTCAAACTTTGAGATTATCACTACACAAATTTACAATTTCACTTGATTTTCTCTTTAATGTTAATTTGAAATACCCATAAAACCACCTCAGACCAGTTAGGCCTCAGCAAACGTCCAAGTGGCCCTAATAAGTATTATTTAAATTTAGTTATATTAACATAATCCCAATTAAACTGCTAAAAGACACTTAAAATTTTGACATAATTTTGAGATTATTACACATAGATTACTTTACATTATAGGAGGGTCTAAATACTGTCTTCTACAAAGGGGGCCTTGGAGTCAAAAATGTTTCACTATATATATATATATATATATATATATATATATGGATATTTCTATCATTTAATTTTTAGCTCTTTTATAAGATTTCAAAGCTGTGTCCCTACTTTTTGTAAAAACATTTTGTAAACTATCAGATATTTATGAGAACATTTATTAAATCAGGTCACATATGTCACTTAGGCCTATGCATTAAATATATTAATGCACATCATGTGGATTTTAATATGAAATCCGTGCATAACATACGGCATCTCCGTAATATTAGTCGACAATTCAATAACTTCGCTTCATCAATAAATCAGAAAACAGATGCAGGTATTAAAAGTAAACTGATTGATAATACACTTCTGAAAAAAACTTCTGGCACTAGTCGTGGCGGAATCGGTACCAACAAACAACAGCATTTAGAGAGGGTTTCGGACGAGTGGTTTACCTTGTGGCGAGCAGCTGGTGGCGCTCTTCAGATTTTGCCAGAGCTTATGGAGCGCACCGCTGTCTCCTGAGCGAGCCACCCCGCTGTACGGCGGTCGTCAGGCGGCGCTCTTCACTTTTCCCCGCAGGTCTAAGAGCGCTGAAGGGCGGCCTTCTTTCCCCAGCCGTTTCCGAGCCTCGCCTCGCGCGCTGCAGCTGGGCGATCCCTCGTGCAGCGCTCGTCGGCCCCGCGGAAGCGTTCGGGTGCCCACAATGCGTTTTCTCGCCGCAACGAAGCAGTATTATTCAGTGCCACGCACTGTTTGTTAAATATTTTGACGCAAAGACGATCGTGGATGTGGAAATGTACCGTCTGTCTGGCCTCTGTTCCTTGCTCTGTGCATGCTGCCCTCCCCATGGAGGTTCGCGTGTGGCTTGTGCAAGGCGCTGATTGGATAGAAAGACTGTCTTTCAAACTCTAGCTCTTGTGATGGACAGTCAGAGTATGCGAAGCGAGGCTGCATCTGCTGATGGAAAGGTCCTAAACCACAAATAAATTAATTAATAATAAAACATCTCAAAACACACTATGTGTTTATTATTAAGTATTTATTATTAATTGTTCATGAAATGTATATGATTAGTCCCTCAAATAATAGACTGCTATTAAAACATTTCAGACCATTCCTGAACTAATTAAAGGAAAAACAGTTTGACTTCTATGTAAATGGAAAATTTGTCAATGTAAACGTTTTTGTAAAACGAGAGATTTTAACCGACAACAAATGTGACACATTTCATCAGAAGTCAAAGTAATCATTTCGATATTTATATCTTGAGTTATCTATTTATTAACTGTATTATAGTGTGTTACGCCATTAGGTTATTTAATGCATGGCTTTTCAAACATTCTGCTTTCTAAAGGTTTGGAAATTAGGTTCATTTCGAGTATGTTATTCCATTGACGGCCATAGTTTTTATTGGCAAGACAAAAAAGATTTTGCATTTTTATTTATGAGCCCTTGGCATGAAAAAATTATGAAAAGCTGGTCATTCTTATGCTGCAGGATCTATGCACGTGAGAGCGTTGTTGAACTTCATTGCCCAGAAAACAATGCGCATAGAGCGTCGCTGTGCGTCAGCTCTAGTTGCCCAGCCACAGAGAAAGAAAGAGGCGGCGCACAATTTGCCATTGATAGAATAGTTCAGCAATCTTAATATTTTTTTTAACGATTATTATAATTTAAATTGACACATCCACTACGCGCCTGGGCCAGTCTACAGGCACAGTTTACCCCCGCTCTGGCACACTTGCAACCCGAAATGAGCGGCAGCGGGCGGCCCAGGACTAGCTCGTTTGCTGAGCCTCCAGGGGTCCCGGGAGCCGCTGCAGCCGCCGCCGGATCAGCCGTCGCTGGCGGAAGCTCTTCAGGAAAGACGGGGGGTGCGCAGGCCGCAGGCGGGAGTTCGTCTGGTTTCGGAAACTTAAAGCTGGGCAGTGAGTATCATTCAATGACATCACACGACAATCCCAATAAATGTGATATTAGTAGACTAGTAAAAGCCCAAGTGCTGGACCGTGTAGCGTGCTGTTCATTCATTTGTCTGATTATTTTGCCATGATCGCGTTAACCTACTTTAGGCGGCTAACTGGCTAAGCTAACGTGAGCTTGTTTTTGTAGACGGATCAAGGGCTTTGATTGCTCTACATTAGCTCGACAATCCTTCATACGAGCACTGGCTAAACGCATCTCTTATGATCGATACCAGTGCATCACATTTTGACCACCTTGGCTTGAACCCTTCTTTAAAATATGATACTTGGTTTATTAGATGTTTAGACGTCGCGTTATTGAAGATGTGCTCGTTTGGTAACAAAGCTCAGTTAGCCTGCCGGCAACATCTAACAGACTGTATCTTCAATTTTGCCTTTGATTTGAATAATTTCATCATGTGCGATCCTGGATGCATGTAGTCGCATCAGAAATGTGTTTAATAATAATCTTAATATTAAGTTCAACCTGCCTGAAGAGGGCCAAATTGGCGTTTGCCTGTCCATATATTTAAAGGAGAAATATCATAATATTTATAATATAATATTATTATAATTATTAATGTTTTGTTAAATGACCCAGCCTTCCTACTCGCAATCTAACAGATCATCACATAGCTTTGAGTACAAACACTGCGTCCTATGAAGAAAAAATGACCCAGTGTAAATTTGTGGTTGGGCTACTCCTGTGAAAACTAGTGGTTTCCCTAGAGGCATAAACCTCTTCATTTGGAGCTCTATAAATAATTCCCAGTGACTGCAGTGCTGGCAGCAGCGTTTATCTACACTGGTGCTGACTGCTGGATTTCCATGAGAATGGTGATGGGTGTTATTACTAGGAATGAGGGGAGATGGAGTGGGTGGATGTACAACTGTAACCCACCAGAAACCTTGAACCAGTAGTTACAACACAACAATCATAGCTGTTTTTGTCCTATTTTTCAGCATAGTAACCATTTTTAATTACTCTGCTGACATTTGTACTCGCCTAAAAACATGATGCATTTTGTGTCATTAACGTAGAGTTAATTTACATTTAAATTACATTTTTATTTGCAAATACATTATTTTTATATTCATATATAGATTTCTGCTGGAATCAATGATAAAATCGTCATTCAGTTCATCACTGAAAGCAACTAAATGGCATAAACATGATCAATGAACACATGGCAAAGTGACTGGCCATTAACTGGACTGAATCCATCTCTCTCATCCTAGAGGATCATACTACAGTCTTTTTAATGGCAGGCTTTGGCTCTGGCGTTTCAGATTCACGATAGCATCATTTTAGATTCTATATGGTGATTTTTTTTTTTACTCTGAGAGAATTATTCAGTCACATGACTGGTTGTGGAAAAAGTCGCAAGACATTTATGCACATGTAGCAAATTATTCTGTAATAATCTTTCTCTCAGTTAATGAGCTTGCCTTCCTGAATAAAAATATATCCATCTCAAATGTAATGATTTGTGCACATTTTCCAAATTTTTTTATGCAACATCCACAAATTGGTATTCAAAATGACATTTTATGTGGTGGCAATTTAAATAAGCCACTAATCCACAATGTTTCTCATCCCAGTCGAAGCAGTGTTATTCTGTTGAAAAATTCTCAATAGCAGCAACTGTCTATTGGCGCTTTTCCACTGCGTGGTACGACTCGGCTCGGTACGGCTCGGGTTGCGGTTCGGTTCACCTGGAACCCCAACCGAAGTGGTACTAAAAAAAGTACCAGGTACCAGGTACTGTACCCAGTGGAAAACCCCCCAAAAGTGAACCGTACCGAGCCGTACCGTGCCGTACCATGCAGTGGAAAAGCGCCATATGTCATGCATGACAACAGCTGTCTGCTCTGCTTTGATCTGGTAAATAATAGTTTTGCTGTGTAATAAAACAAAGCTTTTGTTTTGGTGAATCTGTCATTACTCATCTAAATCTAAACTGACAGCAACTGACGGAAAAAACATCACCCTAGGGCTCTGCTTGTCTCCAGGCGTCCCCATTATTCAGGTCTGCTCTTGGCCACAGGTGGAAATGTGGTCAGACTTTAGTAGACTCCACCCATGTTCAAACAGTCTTAAGGGAGTTTCTGCTATTCCTAGTGATAAGCTCTACCCGTTGTTCTGTTGTGTTTGGGCACACATCTAAACACGGGTGTTGGATTACTATTAACACCTGTCAGACAGAGTGGCAAACAGGCATAGCGTGCTGGATAAGATGAGTTCAAAAAGATCTAACCGCTGTAGTAGCTAATGCTGGGTTTGGACTTTTTGCTTTGTTTTCATGTCTTTTGAATATAAAGCTCTCTCAGGCATTCAGGAGTAGTTTTGAGGAATATTTCACGTTTTGTTTTACTCACTCTCATGTCGATCTAAACCTGATTGACTTTCTTCCATGGAGTGCGAAAGGAGAAGTTTTAAAGAATGTGCTGCTCACCAATTCCAATGCAGTGAGGACCTGTGATTTCATGCTTCAAAAAGCATGCAAGGCACCACAAAATAACCGTAAATGTTGCATGTGACTTGTCTTTTCAAATCACCACACTCACCAGCTGATTAGAGCTATTACTCATGTTTTTCTCAGCTGAAATTGCATGGTAGATTCATAATTAATACTGTCAGAGCATCATTTTCCTGTGGTTTTACCACGAGGAACGTGTCCACCACCAATCCTGCAGCATAAAATGAATGACTACATGGACATCATACAGCAGTGCTCAGCTTCTGACAATTTATTCAAAATGCTGTGTGTTATCACACAGATATTACGTTATTTTCCAGGGGAAATTAAATTCATGTTACTTTTTTGTTTTGGATGGACAAATCTAAATGCACTTGAGTATCACTAACCTCAGAAAGGCTAAGTTTGACACTAATAATGTGTATAGGCAACAAAGATAAAAGTAACCCTCTTTTAGTTAGTGTCATGCACTGGTCCAGTGCTCTTGACAGAAGCTAGGGCAGAAATAAAAATACAGAGAAAATAATATTTTTTTTTTATAACTGTTATTTCACTTGTTAGTTCACACAATGGTATGATTCTGCTTTTGTTATACAAGCTAATATTTAGAGACCAACTGAATATAATAACAATTTAAATGCATTAATTCACCTGATATTACAAAAACAGTTTAGTAGAAAAACTGAAATATTACTATAAAATAGTAAGTCCAATGCATTTTTCAGTCTCTTACTTACAGGGTTAGTGCACCCCAAAATGAAAATTGACATTTTACTCTTGTCTTGACCCTATAAAACATTTGTAAAGAGATCAAAAAACAAATCCATATGAATTGAGCAATTTAATCCAAGTATTCTGAAGAAACATGGTTGCTTTATATGACGAACAGATTTAATTTAGGCTTTTATTCACATATAAACATAGATCAGCGAACATAAATCGCTCAACCATACTTGCCTTGATCTCATTGGTCCTTGCACCGCAAGCAAGCGTGCTTGAGCTTCCATCACCAAATATTGCTGTTAACATTGTTAGCTTATTAATGTTTATATGTGAATAAAAGCCTAAAAATAGATCTGTTCATCATATAAGGCGATCATGTATCAGCAGACTTTGGATTAAATTGCAGGAGGCACAGAAATCTCTTAGATTTGATTAAAAATATCTTAATTTGTGTTCCAAAGATGATCGTATTTCTTATGGGTTTGGAGCGACATGAGGGGAATGCGACATGAGCGGCGTGAGTAAATGCTGACAGAATTTTCATTTTAGGGCTGAGCAAACCCTTTTAAACATGAATTAAACAATGACTATTAAGGTAAATTGTCAGATGTCTTGTCAGATGGTAAATTTGAGGATGTTCTTTTTGTAATTTTAGCACATGGACTACAAAAGTAGTGTTTAATATGTGACTGCATTCGTTCAGGTCATACATGGGGAAAAATGACTCCTGTGGTTTAAATCTTAATTATTTTGAGCAGTCAGATCTTTCAGGCAAAGGCCTTTTGTTTAAAAAAACACTTGTTTTGTTGTGTGTTTAGGGGATAGTGGGAAAGTAACAACGGTAGTAGCCACACCAGGGCAGGGTCCAGACCGTCCTCAGGAGGTCTCGTACACAGACATCAAGGTGATCGGGAATGGCTCATTTGGAGTGGTGTACCAGGCTCGACTCATTGACAGCCAGGAGATGGTGGCCATAAAGAAGGTGCTTCAGGATAAGAGGTTTAAGGTAAGAGGAGTAAGAACCTGATTGTGTACAAACTGATGTTAGTATCATAATAAATAACCCTAAAATGCATAAAACCATTTCCAACAGGAAATGTTTTTACTTGTAATGCTACAGGCCCTTTAAATATGGCTGCTACAATCGCGTTGGAATTTTCTTTTTGTCATTGCGATTTGACCAGTGATAAACATTTAATATCTCATGTTGCTTCTGCTTAGATAACAAAGCTAAAAGAACAAAAAGGCTTAAGATCACATTGAAAACACCCCCTTTTAAGTTCAGCGGTGTGTTCATAAACTACAAACTTGCCTTATGACTCCAGTTGTTTTGTCCAGGCTCTACTGCCTTGAGGAAATGTTGCTCTTCACATTTTCAGAAGACCTGAACCTCTTTCAAACTGACTCAAAAGTATCCCTGGGCGATAAAACGGTATCGATATTTATCGATGGTACACCTTCTTCGATAACGATATAAAAAAAT